AACAGCTGTGCTGGCCAAAGGCAGCGCTGCCCACAGAGTGCTTACCAATGAAGGGATCAATGACATGACGCTTTTTCACCTTCGTTTCCGTGATGGCAGCGTAATAGGCACAGGTCATTTTGATGAGCCATGCTGCTCTCATTACTGGAACAGTGTATTTGGCCAAATAACCAAAAACCTCTTCCTTCTTGCTAAAGATGGGCACCTGTAATGAAATGGAGAAGGAAAACTGAACCAAGCACTTGGAATAAATGAAGCAGCTAAAGCAGCTATACCTGCTGCAGGTATGAAAAAGGCAAAAAGGCAACAGAGCAACACAGTACCTCTACCTCAAAAAAGCCTGCTGCCAAAATTCACTTGTGGTCAGAAAGCAACAGTACCAGAGCTGCATTTCAGTACAAACAGAAACAAAACAAATTGAAAGAAGACAGAACATATAATTACATCACGGTAAATCCATCCCCTGAATTCTGCAAACATCTTGGAAGTTATCCTCCAGAGAGCACATAAAGAGCTATGAAAGCTACAGACTGAGTCAGTAACAGAGTATCTGCCATGCAGAGTGAAGGAAGGACTCTTCACTTTGTATACAAGACCAAGTGGTTACAGAAATTTCACTGTATCATGAGTACTCAACAGAAGACTGAGAGAAACAGGGAGCTGAGTACATAGCAGGAAAAGAATTCATTAATCCAAGATTCAAAATTCAAGATACAATACAGGAGGATAGCAGTAAAATCACCAGGCTGCAGGACTATAAACCAGGAGACACTAACACATCACAGGGAAAAGTACAGCTGTGGGGCTCATTTCCACACAATACTCTGGAGAGTGAAAGTATGTGTGTTTTCACAGAGGAATGAAAAAAATTCACAAAAACCAGGTCCATTTGGCAGGTATCTTCAAGTCCCCAAATTACTGATGTTCATTTATGCTATGTTTCCTACATCCTTCCCAATTGCTCTCTGATGCCTCAAAGTCAGACTACCTGGCTACTGACAGCCACTCTTTCACATCCAAGTTCACAAAAATGGATGGAGCTCATAGCAGGAAAACAGGAGAAAACCTTGAAAGGTTCAAGCTTTTACCATGACCTCAGGAAACTGATGGTCAAAACACAAAGAAGGACTAAGTTTATAAAGAGTCAGGATACTGGGAAAATCTGATTACTTTATTTTCCCTCCAGGAATGACTCAGACCATTTTGCAACTGGGAGTTATGATTTTTCCATACCAGACTCACAAGCACTTTTTTGTAGGCTACCCCTGAGAGAGAGCTATCTCCCTTGCTATCAGGCCTGATAAAATGCCAAAGTAAGACCCTTTTTCATACTCTACAGAATTCACAGCTATAAGGGGAATATCTACCCCTAAACTCCAGGGCATAGAAATACTGTAGCCTGGCCAAGACCAAGTGATAGCACAGGTACTCCTCTCTGCTGAAAAGCAGAAACACCTCACTGCAACAGAAATCTGGGAAGTCATTTAGGTGATTATTTTCAGTAATTCTCACTAAGACTTTTGAGAACTTGAGAAACCCTCCACAACAGAAATGTCCTAATCTAAACAACAGACCAAAGGCAACAGTGGCAGCTCTTTGGAAAAACAACTGAACCTTAAAATAAATCAGTCGTGTCCTACAAGCCAAAAGGCAAAGCTGAACACACCTCAAAATAACAGCCTAAAGACCAGATCTCAAAGTGTGGATGACTACAGTCAGTGCACTACAAATCCCACATCCACTCTGCAAGCTGAAAGCTTCACAAGCTGTATAGACAACGAACTTCTCCAAACAGTAAAGACCTTCAGAAAACCTCCAAAAACAAGCACAATTAAATTCTCTGCCCTGCCAGGCTGCCTCTCCTGTAACATACCTTCTTAGCAAGGTGAGTGAGGGGCTTAGTTCCAGCCAGATCTGTGAACCAGTTGTTTATGGCACTCTGGGAACGTGCTGTCACCAGCCAAAAGTTATCCTTCTGATTGACCTGGGGTTTCCGTCTGCCCGTGTCAGGCAGGGTGTTGCACCGTAGCTTTTCTGCAATAATACTGCTAAAATTGGAGCTGATCTGGAGGAGAAGGAAAAAAAAAAAAAGGATTCATTAAATTTCAGAGGTCAAAGACATGAGCAGTGTGCTTAAAATTTATCACTCATTTATCACTACTACCAGAAGTCTCACCAGTATCAACTTTTGAAACACAAAGTAACTGCCAATAACTCCTTTGTTATACTTGCAGAGATTAATGTGTCTAGACAACTCATACAATAATCAAGCAGGGATTCAAGTTGAGATGGACACAACCCTTTAAAAAAATACCTGTCAAACCAGACAGAAGGCTCCTCAGACAGAAGTCAGCCAAGGAAAGCAAATATCCTGTGCTTATTGATTGCCTTCCAACCCAGGTCATTACTAGTTGTTTTGTCAGGAAGTCAACATCTTGACTTCAGAGACTGGAAAATGGAGTTGAAGCCTATTATATAACTCCCATTTTTAAACTTCCAGATGTTTCACGAAATCGTACTTTCCTTTTACTATGGCCATCATGTAACCAAGCCAATAAGGAGTTTCTCTCTCCTACTATCACAGCCTTGTGCTTTAACAGCAGAATTTAAGGAGTCCTAGATGCTGGCTTAACCAATACTGCAGACACAGACTTGCCCCTAAAATGCACTGAACTAGACAAGAACCTGCTCTCTCAGAGGTGGGACACACTTCTAAACGAATGCAGAACTTGGATTCTAAGAAACGGAGGGTCAAGTCTTAAAAACACCCACACAAAAGGGGAAGATCTCCTAGTGCTCGACACACGGAAGGAACGAGACCCAGGACTGTGCAAGATCCAGCCGCCTGCCCTCCCAAACCCGCCCTCGACCGTCGGGACGTCTCTCACCTTCGCCGGATTGAAATTGACATTTTTGGCACTGCCGTGCTCGTCCCCAGAGACCGCCGGTTGGTTATTGAAGCCTTGCTTGACATTCAGCGCAGTCAGCTCATCCTGCGGGGAAGGACGGTCAGCAGGGCCCGGCCCGGCCCCTCCGCGCCCACCGCCGCCGCCTCCGTCCCCAGGGCGGGGGCTGAACCAGGCGAGGCCCGGCTGCTCCCCGACCTCCGCCACCCTCGCTACCAGGCACCGCCCTGGGCAGTGCCGGGACACGGCACCGGGGCTCCCCCGGCCCGGCCGGCGCCCCCCACCCCGGGGTCCCGGTGGGACGGCGCCCCCTCGCCCAGTTCCCGGCCCCGCGCCGCTAACCCGGCGCTCCCTCAGGTCCGGCCCCGGCACAGCGGTCCTGCACCCCGGGTCCCCGCAGCACGTTCGCCCGACCCCCGCACCTCCTTCTGCTTGGGGTCCTGCGGGTACACGTCAGGGGGGCCGAGGCGCGGGCGCTTGAGCGGGCGGTGCTCGTAGCTGAGGACGCCGAAGGCCGCCATGGCGGGCCGGCCGGGCGGGGGCGGCCGGGCCACAACAAGGGCCGCCGGCGCCGCCCGCGCCTGCGCGCTACGCGCTGCGCCGAGGCAGGTGGGCGCCGCCGAAGCCGGGCCGAAGGAGCACGGAGAATCCCGAGCGTCGCCGAAAAGGCCCGAGTGTTGCCGAAGAATGCCGAAAATTGACGGAGAGACCCGAGTACTGCTGTGACTGGACCGAGGACAGACGAAGAGTACCGAGCTCAGCCGGAGAGATCCGAGAGTGAACGGAGAGAGCCGAGCGTCCCCGAAGCGGGGAGGAGCGAGGACAAAAAGCCCCGAGCGCCGCAGGAGAGTCCCGAGCAGTGCCGGGATGGCCCGAACCCGCTCCGAGCGAAGACGGAAAGTGTCGAAGAGGGACGGGACAGCCCGAGCGGCGCGCGCGCGCCCCCCGGCGGAGGCGCCGCGCCGGTGCCTTGTCCGGAGAGGATCACGTGACACCACCCCCTGCCCCCGTACCGGGACACCCCCAGGCCCGGCCACCAACACCCCCGGTGCGGCCATCACCGCACCACCGGCAGCGGACACCGGCCGTACTGTCACACGCACCAAGCCTCGCTGTGACTCTCCTGCAGCCGCCCCCTCCCACTGCCTCGGTGCCTCCCCGTGATGCTGCCAGGGATCCAGGCGGGCTGGGCGCTGGGATCCCCATCCCAGCCATGCCTCTGGGGCAGCCCAGGGGCGGTAAGCCCTACAGCGTGAGCCACGGGAACACGGCAAGATGAAATAGGGGTCCAGGAGGTGTGAGGCGTGGGAACTGAGCAGGGAGGGTGACGCTGTCCCGGTGGGATGAGCCAGTGGAATGCGCTGTGGGGTCCCAGTGCGATTGTTAAAAACGAGAGCAGGGTCCCGGGGCTAAAGTGATTTCAGCATTTATTATAATAAAAGAAAGGCCCAAAGCAAGGGGGCCGCGGGCCGAGCAGGAGCGTTCCCGCCGAGGATGCTGCAGCGCCGGCGCTGCGGCTGCTCAGCAGCGATGTAGCGATGTACCAGGTGGAACGGCACATACTCAGTGGGTCAGAAGCCCCTTTTTATCCTGTTTTTTGTCCCTTTGGATTGGTTTCTTTTTGTATCCTTCATTTGCACGAAGGTTTAAGGCACTCGATTGGCCATTACAGCTCTGTCCAGGCTGGTTCATTTCACTTGGGGTTGGTGCACTTTCCTAAGGTGTGTTATGGTACACCTTATAACTCCCCTTTTAACCCCTTTTACAATATAATAACCAAACTAACAGTACATGCTTAACAATCTGTCAACTATTTTATAACAGTTTCTAACGTATTTTTAACAGGATGAGCCATGGAGTTCCACTGGAATGAGCCATGGGGTCCCACTGGGATGTGCTATGGGGTTGCAGTGGGTTGAGCTGTGGGATCCCACCGGGATGAGCCGTGGGGCCCCTCTGGAGTGAGCAGTGCCCCACAAGGCAGCCCTAGGGGCACGCAGGGCGCCGGGTGCAGGCAGTGCCGTGGGCAGGAAGCAGAGCGCTGCGGAAGCCGGCAGTCCTGGCCCAGGCTGCTCTCACGCGTCCCCGCTCAGCAGCCCCCATGGCGGCTCCTGGCGCCTTCCTCGTGCCTGTCCTCCTCCCCGTCCTCTGTGGGCTGGGTCTCTACGCTGCTGCTGCCGACAGCCAGCCAGGTAAGGGGGCACAAGGGAAGGCCACGGGCCCCTTTTGTGGTTGGGGCTGGGGACTGGAGCTCCGAGTGATGGCGGGTGAGGACAGGATGTGGGGCTGTGTGGGCTGGCGTGCTGTTGTGGCACACACCAGGGACCCTGCGACCCCTGATGTGCCCCAGGACCTGCAGCACCTGTATGGCCCCTTGCGGTGGGGCTGCCAGGAGGGTCAGGCTGTACCAGGGAGCCCTGTTGGGGGGTCCTTGTGCCCACTGCAGTGCTGGAGCATTTCTGACCCCACCAGCCCCCTGGGAGTGCTCCTGCCCCATCACTCTACTGGCAGATCCTATTGGCCTGTGCCATGTGAGGGTGTTGGACAGGATGGTCAGTGGATCTGCACCAGCTGCCCTTTCCTTCCTGGTCCCTCAGTAGTGCTGTGCACAGGAAGGGGACAGGACACAGAGGCGTTTCTTTCCACCTGGCACTCTCATCCCAGCCACTGTTTTCAGAGAAAAAAATGCACTCCTTGCCTGGCTGTCAGTAAAACAACAGCTTTCTGTGGAAAAAGCCCCTCTGTATCCCTGGACCTCCTGGGCTGGTGGGAAGGTGCCCTCCATCTCCAGGTGTAGAAGCAGCCTGTTTGCTCCATTGTGTTACATTAGAACCCAGGAAAGCTCGACCCTGGCTTTCTCCTGCCCATGCAGTGCAGGCTGATGAGTTTGTTTGGTTCACACAGAGGGACATTCATAGGGATCCGTGGGGATCTGGCATGTGCCGTGTCTCTCTGGTGCACCCCTGGGCCCTGGCACAGCCACCCACCACTGCCATGCCCAGCAGTGTCTGTTGCTTGCAGGAGTGGAGTGTGTCCTCTTCAACGAGGAGTACATGAACTGCACGTGGGGGAACAAAGAGATGCCCACAGTCAACTACTCCCTCTTCTACTGGTAGGTGCCCTGCCCCATGGCCAGTCCTACAGCAGAGTGTCCAGCACTGGGTCCCTGTGCAGGGAGGCTGCTGCCAGCATTGCTGGTCCATCAGGCCTCTCTTGCTCCCCAAGCCCAGGGTGGGGCAGGCTCTGTCTCCAGAGCAAGCAGGGTGGGATGTGCTGGGGAGGGGGTCCTGGTGAGGGCTGGGGCATGTGAGGCCTTGGGGAGTCCTGGTAACCCAGTGTGGCACAGGTACAAGAACACGTCTGACAAGGCAGTGGAGTGCAAGCAGTACCTGCAGCACCAGGGTGTCAGGGTCGGCTGCTACTTCAAGAAGAATGAGCTCATCCAGTTCCAGCCTTTCCACGTTCTCATCAATGCCAGCGTTGGAGGCAAGACCCTGGAGATCTCCAGAAAGCACATGCAGCTGCAGGACCTGGGTACAGAGTGGTGGGGGGAGCCCCCTGTGGGTTCTCAGAGCTCCCCTGGGGGCTCCCAGCTGGCAGCAGGGCCCTGGCCATGGGGCCAGCCCTCACTGGGCATCACTTGTCCCTCGCAGTGAAACCAGAGGCGCCTGTCAACCTGACCCTCCACAACATGAGCAACAACCAGCTGCAGCTGACCTGGGCCTCCCCCTACCCCAGGAACGGGTGCCTGAAGCACGCTGTCAAGTACAAGAGCAACAAGGACACCAGCTGGACGGTGAGAGCCCTGGGCATGGCACCCTTGTGGCTGTGCCTGGGCTGAGCTGAGCACCAGCCTCCAAGGTGGTCCCAGCCAGCAGCTCAGGGCTCGTGTCTCTGCAGGAGCTCTCGGTGAATGGAGGTGTCTTCTCCTTACCCAGCGTGGACTATGAGAAGTCCTACACCTTCTATGTGCGTAGCAAGATCAACAGTTTCTGCGGCACAACCCAGCTCTGGAGCGAGTGGAGCGTTCCTGTCATCTGGGGCAGCAACTCCACCAGCAAGGGTAAGTTCTGAGGGCTGCAGTGGGATAGGATGGACTGGAGCATGGCAGGGCTCAGCAGGTGAGAGATGGCCAAGCAAGTAGAGAATGGCCTGAGGCAGCAGCTCTAGGGACAAGACCCATCTGGGCATGTGGGGTGCTGGCAGCAGCATCCTTTGTACTTCTGGAAGCAAAACATACCCCACCAGTGGGACCTGCTGAATTTGGCCAGGGGATTCTTAGCACTGGAGGGAATGGCTGGGCCAGGACAGGGTCACCAGCTAGTTATGGTGACAGGATGGCAGTGCCTGGGGCCAGGCCCCTTCTCCATGCTCTGTTCCCAGCTGAGCCCTGCCATGAGCAATGCCATGGCCACCCACGCAGGGCCACCTGCAGTCTCACCTGGCTGCCATGGCGGTGTGCTTGCTGTCTGGGGATCAGTGTCACCCCTCTCCTTCCAGGCACGGTGGAGGATCTGTACTGGTTTGGGATCCGCACGGTCCTGGTCCCCATTGCCTCCTGCCTGCTGCTGCTGGTGCTTGTCATCCTGCTGGTGCGCATGGAGAGGTGAGCGTGGGGAGCTGCCTGGGCAGCAGCACTGGGGCTCCTCCCTCTAACACACCTCTCCTGCACAGGGTCTGGGTCATCCTGATGCCCCGAATTCCCAACCCCAGCAAGAATTTTGATGAGCTGTTCATCACCCACAACGGCAATTTCCAGGTAAGGTGGCACAGGCTGCCCTGCCCTGGGCTCACCCTGGCTGTGTGGGGTTGGGGCTGGGCTGGGTGGCAGCTCTCTCACCCTGCTCTGCTCCCTGGAGGAATGGACTGGAGTCCCCAAAGATGTTGTGGAGAGCTTCAAGCCCAACTACAGCGAGAACATCTGCTATGTGACTGAGCTGCCACCCAAGGACAGCCACGAGCCCCTCTGGGACAGCAGCAACCATGCACCACCTCCAATGCCTGGGCCCCCAGCCGCCCCCAGTGAGCACAGCCCCTACCAGAACAGCTATGGGAGGCTGTGACACACTCCTGCACCCCTGTATGCCCCATGCTCCAAAGCTTTGCTGCCAAACCTTACTGCTCCTCAGGCCTGCTCCCTGCTCCTGCCATTTCTCTGCCAAATGCCCTGGACCCCCAGTCTTCCTTCCTGCCAATTGCCCTCCCTGCTCCCAGGTGCCCACAAGCACACCCAGGGATGTGTCCTGGTGAGGGCAGCTGCAGCTGGGCAGGCAGGGGCCACTAGCCAAGTGATGGGGACACACAGGATGAGGAGTCCCAGGGGGCTAAGTGTGGAAAAATAAGGAAAGATAGGCAAGAAAGATTGTAAACATGCTCAAGTGCCTTGCAGCTGATGTAGGGAAAACACATATACCATACTCATGTTGTTTAGCTTTGTGTATTCAGTAAGTAGAACTTGTGTTTAGAAAACACAGGCCTGTGATAGACTTAGTGGCACCTTATTTAACATGCTTGAGATTCCTGGCCTGCTGTGGGAAAGATCAGATCACAGTGGTAAACCACAACTGCACAAATCCTTGATAAACAGTCAAAAACAGCAGGTTCAGTGATCCTCTAGGGTGGCCCAAGATCCACAGTGCCTGCATCCCTGCTTATGTGCCTGGGTGCTGCCTGGGGGGTCCTGCAGTTGGTGAGGTAATGAAAATAAAATTCCTCTTTGCCTTTCATCCATGGTTTTGTGGTTGTTCCTGTGTCCTGCCTGTGCTGGCTCAGCCAGCCAGCCCCTGTGTCATCCTGGCAGTTCCCCAGGCCTCGCTGCTCCTTCCCCTGTGTCCCCAGTTCCGGTGGCACTAAAGCTCTGCCAGCCAGGGGATTGCCCCGGCTCGTCCTGCAGGGTCTGGGGAAAGCACCACCGGAGCCCCAGCTCTGAGCACCTCTGACCTCTCACACACAGTGAGGTAGGGGCCAGTCCCACAGTGGCAGCGTGTTCATCAGCCAACATCGAGCACATGGATGGGTCCCCTCCTGGCTGCCTCACAAGGCTCCCTGCACACTCGGGGATGTGCTGTGACCTCACTGGGCAATGGGCTCTGCTCTGGGCTCTCCAACCACTTCTGGGGCCACCTGCAGCCCTCAGCCACTGCTGCTGTCCCTGCAGATGAGCAGACCTTTCTGGCCAACACTGACTGCAGTCCCCTGCAGCTGCTTTTACAGAATCCCAGAATCAATTATGTTGGAGAAGACGTTGGAGATCATTGAGTCCAACCTCTGTCCAAACTCCACCATGTCAACCATACCATGGCGCTAAGTGCCACCTCCGATTTTTCCTTAAACACCTCCAGGGACAGAGACTCCCCCACCTACCTGAGCAGTCTAATCCAATGTCTGATCACTCTTTCTGGGAAGAAATTCCTTCTGATATCCAACCTCAGCCTTCCCTGGCAGAGGCACGTAAGAGCACACACTCCCATCCTATCACTGCTTGCTTGAGAGAAGAGTGGGACCCTCAGCTGGGCCCTTGGACAGCCAGGCCCTGGCACAGCCAGACCATGGCACAGCTGGGCCCTGGCACAGCCAGGCCCTCGGACAACCAGACCTTCAGACAGCTGGATCCAGGCACAGCTGGACCCTCCAACAGCTGGGCCCTGGCACGGCCGGACCCTCGGACAGCCAGACCTTAGCACAGCTGGACCATGGCACAGCCGGACCCTTGGCAGGCGGACCCTGATACAGCTGGGCCCTGACAGCCAGGCCGTGACGCAGCCAGACCCTGGCTCAGCCGGATCCTGGCACACCTGGGCCCACAGACAGCTGGGCCCTGGCACAGCCAGACCCTTGGACAGCCAGACCTTAGCACAGCTGGACCATGGCACAGCTGGGCCCTGGCACAGCCAGACCCTCGGACAGCCGGGCCCTGGCACAGCCAGACCCTTGGACAGCCAGACCTTAGCACAGCTGGACCATGGCACAGCTGGGCCCTGGCACAGCCAGACCCTCGGACAGCCGGGCCCTGGCACAGCCAGACCCTCGGACAGGCAGACCCTGATACAGCTGGGCCCTGACAGCCAGGCCGTGACGCAGCCAGACCCTGGCTCAGCTGGATCCTGGCACACCTGGGCCCCCAGACAGCCGGGCCCTGGCACAGCCAGACCCTCGGACAGCCGGGCCCTGGCACGGCCGGGCCGGGGATGGGGTCCCGGCCTGGTTCCCCGCCCGTCCCGCGGTGCCCCGGCGAGGCGGCAGCGCCCCCCAGCGGCGGGGGCACCCCGCGCCCCGCCCACCCCGCTGTGGGCGGGGCCTGGCCCGGCCCCGGTAACTTTCCAGCCCTGCCCACGTGGTGCGGCGGCGGCCGCCCCCTGGCGGTGGCGATTGGCGCAGGCGGGCCCGCCCCCCTGCCTGCCGCGGTGCCGGCTCTGCGCTGCCGGCGGCCGCACCGGGCGGGGGCACCGGCACCGGGCAGCGGGCACTGGGACTGCGCTCGGCACGGCACGGCACGGCACGGCACGGCACGGCACGGGCTCACCATGATCGTGTGTCCCCAGAGCGTGGAGCACCCCCGAGGAAGCCGATGCCAGCGGCTGCCGGGGCAGGTAGGACCCGCCCCGCCGCCACCACCGGAGCCCGTACAGGAGCACCGGGCTCAGCCCTGCTCGCCGCCACCGGGCCGGCACGGCTAGGGCACCGGCAGGCCGGGGCATGCCCGCTGGCCGTGCGCGGGACCGGCGGGGCTGTGCTCTCGGGATGCCGCGACCGGCGGCTCGGTCTTGGTCCTGGTCCTACTCCCGGTGCCGGTGCTGGTGCTGGTGCCGGTCCCGGTGCGGCGGTGGCGTCCCCGTCCCCTTTGTGCGGGATGCGGGAGGCGCCGTGGCTCCATCACTGCCAATCAAACTTGTTTTTCTCTCTCCGCCTGCACTGCCCGCGCCGCTCACCGGGGGCGCTGCCGCCGCCGCCGCCCGCACAATGGGGCCCCGGGTACCGGCCCCGGGTACCGGCCGCCGGCACCGCCGGAGGGGTCCCTGCCGCAGGCACTCGGACTTCCCCCGTCCTCTCGAATACCCAGGCACAAGGGCCGGGCCAGAGGTGGTGCCGCGGCACCGTATCCAGAGAACGTTACCGGAGGAGCCACCGGTACCGGCGGAGCCGCGGTCTCACCGGGCGAAAGGATGAGCCCCGGCCGGGCGGGAAGCGCGGCGGGGTCTACCGGCCCCTCTCCCGCACATCCCGGCGCTGTCCGGGCTCCTCAGCCTCCTGCCTGCTTTATGTGCTCACGGCTGCCGGCCGGGAGCCTCGGGCACCGTTCCCCCGGGGTCCGCCGGGCGGGGAGGGGACGAGGTCGGTGGTGGGTACGGCGGGTACGCATTTGAGGTGCCTGCTAAGAGTTCGGGGGGCCCGGACACACAAAGGTTCCCCTGGGAGGGAGGCGATGCTCCCACAGCCCGGGAGTGCGAGTGGATGCACTCCGGGAGGAGGAGGAGGAGGGCTGTGGCCGAGGAGGATGAGGAAGGTGCCACTAGGGCCAAGCGAGAGGTTGGGGAGGCAGAACTGAGGGCATGTGGCAGGCGGTGCCGGTAGGAGACACCCTGGGCTGAGCTGGTGCCTTTGGGAGTGGGCAGTTTAGCCTGACCAGGGGCTGAGAGCCGAGGAGGTGGCTGTTCTGCACCTTCATCCACCCCCTTCCTTCATCATCTCCTTCCAAGACACATCTGCCTGGTTGCTCGCTCCATCATCACCTGGACAAGTGGAGTGAGGAGAGCTGGCAGCACCAAAGGCTGAGCCATGGTTGCACAGCTCGTTCCTGGGACCACCTTTCCCAGTATGGGGGAGTGGAAGGGCCCTTGGCTCCTCCACCTCAGCCCTCCAGGACAATACCAGGGCTGTAGCCCCTTGGATGTCCTCACAGCATCTCATTTCCCCAGGCAGAGGGACTTGGTAGGGGGCTTCTGCAGGTCACTTCTGGCTTTCATCTTCTCCTGTCGATCAGAGAAGCTGGTGCTTTTCATCTTTCCATTTTAATATGAGTTTTGGGGTTTTGTGGACCCCTCTTGAACCAGAGGAAGTGAAGAGGACACTCTAAATGTCAAGTAAACCTCTTGTTACTTGAGCGATGTGTTTTCACCAGAAGTGCAGGATGGTGGAAAATAGCCTGAGCTGCTTCCTGCACTGCCTGTGTGGGTGCAACTGCTCTGTGCTGCCACACAGCTCACCCCTGCTGTCTGCCCCTCACCCCTGGCTGCTCTGTCATGCACCCTGGAGCTTTGGTGGTTTGCAGAAGTGCTCCTGGTTTTCTCCATTGTTGCCATGCTCCAGGCACCAACCAGCCTTTGGGTGACTGCACTGGAGAGACAGGTGGAAGGAACAAGACAGGGCAAGAATTTCCCAGGAGAGATTTCAGTTCAAGCCTGGGAGCAGAGATGCATCCTTTGCATTCAGGGGTGCTGCTGGGCTCCCCCATGTGAGCAGGAGCTGTGGCTTCCTGTGTAACACGGGTAGCACCTGCTGTACCCGTACTCTGGGGTGGGCAGGGTGCAGGTGCAGACCATGCTGTCGGTGGGAATTGTGGCAACAAGGTCCTTGGAGCATGGCAGCTGCCTGGGCATCTTTCCAGCATCCCTGCTCTCTGTTCCCACCACCCTCTCAGGAGGGGCTGGAGCTGTGCTGGACCCTGGTGCCAGGCTGGCATGGGCATTGCTGGGGGTGTCTGTGTCTTGCCAAGCTGCCCATCTGTGTTTTCTCTGGTGGGCACAGAGCTGTGCTCTGTGTTGCAGGATGCCCTCCCATGCTGTCTGCTTGGGCAACATGTGGGGAGCTCTTCTGTGTGCTCCTGATCACATGGAAGGTACCAGGCCATGGTTTGCCTCTTGGCTTGCCGGGGCAGGAGGCTGGGAGCCCCTCTGCTGTTTCCACAGCTCTCTCACATCTTGGTACTGGGCAGGAGGGCTCCATGCTGGCAGATGGGCTGCTCTGTTCTGAAGTGTATTTTGTGTTGTGTTTCTCCTGATCCGGCCTTGCACCACTACAAGGATCATTCCTGGTTTGCCCTTTGGTTCAGCTCACCATGCAGAGCCTTCTCCCAGACAGAGGCCAACCTGGGTGTCTTGCTACCTGTCCTCCTGTGTCAATGAGCAGTGCTCTGTGTGAGCGTCCCTCTGGCAGCACCAAGCTGGGAGAGGGATCTCTGCCTCTTGCAGAGCCTGTGCTTAGCTGGGGTGTGCTGCTGCAGCAGGGGCTGCTCTGGGAAGAGCTAAGCAGAGCGTGTTTCCTGCAGGTAGTGAAGATGTCCAGCAGCGACCCTGAGTGCCCCCAGTTCCTCTTTGTGAAGGTGCTGGCAAGCCGAGGGCGGCTGGAGGCGGTGACCCAGCAGATGGGATACCACCCCCAGTACCTGGACAGCTTCCTCAAGACACAGCACTACCTGATGCACATGGACGGCCCCCTGCCCTTCGACTGCCGGCACTACATCGCCATCATGGTGAGCCCTGCTGGGACGTGCCAGAGGGGATGGGGGCTCTGGGCTCTGCTCAGCCCTGTGGGGCTCTCCGTAACCTCCAGCAGACACAGCCTGTGCCGTGGGCTTCTCATCAGGGGCCAAAATCACAATGAGAGTCCTGGAGGCTGAGTGAGAGGTGGGTGTGGGGCCTGTCCTGCTGGGGCAGTGATGCTGATGTGCT